TTAGTATTTTATATATTTAAATAACATAAAATTAACTCAATTACTTGTAACCTTATATTAAAAATAGTTTATTATCTTTTAGAAATAAGCACTCTTTTTTTATAAAATATAAGCTCGTCAACAAGTAATAAGGACCTGACATTGATATAACCAAGAGTTATTTAAAGTATTTGTTCTAGTTTTAATTAGGCCAGATAATAGGTATCCCCAAGTTCGATTCCAAGAAGGGTTAACCCCCACCGCCGTGGGTTATTTTTGCACATCGTTTATGTGGCCCCCAGCATACCTAGGCGGCAGCCTTCCTTTTTCCCTTTGGATCCAACACGATCTCCATCTCCATCTCCATCTCGATCGCCGACTGTCAGCGCTCCACTTGTGGCGTCTCCACCGAGGATCCCAAAGCGGGCAACTCGGACCCGAGACTGGACTCTCGAATCATCAGTGGGCCTGCCCTTCGGTTGATATTTATTTTTTGCTGTTTGGGCTGATTAAAACTGAGAAATCCAATTTATTTCAAAATTTATTGTGTCTCACACGCGCTGCGACGTTCAGGAATTGAAAAATATCAATAAAGGCATATGAATTGTTACCCAATAATAAATCAAGTCCGCCAGTCCCCACAGCAAGGCAAACAAATATTCCTTTTATTGTTTATATATGTATATAAAACAGGCTGGAAAAAAGTAAAGTAAAGGAAGAGGCAGCCCTTTCCACTCCGATTATTCCCGCCGTCTGTGGCATTTTTCGCACCGAGCCCAATGAGAAATATTTCAATGTGAAAATCACCGAAAAAGCGGGAGAAAAAAGGGAAAAAACGTGAGCAGGCTCCCCAGGTTATACGGCCCATGATCATCATTTCATTTCAATTCGCTGTCCCAACTGGAAGACGGCAATTTTCTAAGAAAGACGAAGCGCATACCGAGGAGCCAAACGATTCCAGATTGGCTCCAACTTGGTGTTTCAGAAATATGTGCAAACAATTACGTGCTTCAGAGAACGAGAACGAAAACGAGATCTTCCCTTCTGCAAGATCGCCATCCCGGCCATCCCGGCCATCCATCCGTCTGTCTGTTTGTATTTTTTCTCTGATTTTCGTCAATTAGAATGAGCTGCTCCTTAAAGGAAGCTGTGAATGTGCGAAGATTTCTTTTATACAAGTATATTCTTGGCTCGGCCCGGCTTCGGACGGGGCTTCTTCTTTTTTGGAAGCCCTGCAACCATCAACGGCAGCTAAAATTAATATACCCGCGATAACTCAACATCAACATCATGCCGGGGCCATGGAGATGGGAAGTACACTTAACGTAACATGTTAGTTACTTGTATTGAAAACTTCTGATACCTTGAAACCCAAAAATATGTATTTAATAAAAATATAGCTTTAAAATATAAATGGATAAAGATAAATGGTATGAGAAAGGTCTAAAAAGGACCTGTAATAATATAAAATACTCCATATTTGAAAAGTTTTTATAATTAGGGTAATCCAGTTATCGCTTTTAAGCATTTTGCTTAAAAATTGGTTATTATAGGATAACAAGGATTTACCAATTTCATCGGTCCTTGAAAGTAATAATAATAATATTAATGGATAAGCTTGTATCTTATGAAACCTTTTAAATAAAGTTCAAAACTCAAACAATTTTCTGTGGCGTCAAAAACTATGGTTTTATCTGAATACCCCAGGCGACTTTGAATGAGAAGTGATCCTATTAACTTTACAGCATCTATTTTTTTGAGTGCCTTAACCCCCCCGCATCCCCCGCCTTAACCCCTCGCCGGGCTTCTCTTGCAAATTTCTGCCCCACGTTCCAACATCCTGTTTCGTGCCGTTCATCTTGTCTCTCCAATTGTTGGGCCCGTCTCTTTGTTGCCTTTGCTCTTGTTGTTGTTTTTCCTGTTGTTGTTACTATTGTTGTTGTTGTTGGCAGCTAGTTAAGCAGTTTCGCGTAAACGTTTTTCCAATATGAGCTTCGGGCGGGGGGGAAAGGGGTTAAGGGGGGTGGCGGTGCGAAAAGCGGGGAACTCGGGCTGTGTTGGCTGGCCTGTGTGTTTAGGCTGTCTACAGGGTTGTTATTTTAAAATTAGCACTTTGATTTAAGTTGTCTACACTCTCTTGGCGGCCCGTCTCTAGTTGGCCAAAAGCCCCGAGACTCGGCTGCATTTGGCCAAGGTGTTGAACAGCTGAGTGAAGGGTGAACGGGGTGCCTTTAGTTGCGACTCCAACTCCAACTCCGACTCAACTCAGATGCCAACTTGATTGCCGCCACAAAAAGGTTGAAGGTTAGGGCAAGATAAACTGTTGTTGATGGTGCCCAGAAAGCCATTATCCACATATCATCGCCGGATGATTTCAGATGTGTTGCAATGTGCGGGGGATCGGATCGGATCGAATCGGCTTGGCAGGGGTATAGAGTATACTATAGTATCCCACCGCCCGATGATTATGCTGATGGTTTGGACAGTTCCTGGGAGTCGAAATGCCACAAGATGATGGCCAGTTGAATGATTTCGACTGTGGCATTCGTTTCCTGGTTCCCGATTTTATTACTCATGGCGTTTTGCCATTATTTTCTTTAAGCTGAGTAATAAATATCGTAAGCAGCGGATCTTGGTTATTTATTTTACGACTCTTCATGGAGTCAACCACAATATTCACACCTGTTATGTCAGGTTTTGTAATTTTCTATAGCACGAAGCATTAAATGTTAAGATCGTTATTCTTTTAAATTTTCTTTATATCTTATTTAAACCTATTATTATGTTAATAGTGCGCTTAATGCTTGTATGTTTTAACACCTTATCCCAGCTGCTGATATTTTGATCGATCTTGCCAATTACCCGAACAAGGGCCGTTCAAAAATCACTATGCAATCAAGCAACATTTTCCGTACTTTCCATTATCAGTGCAACTTCCTAGTCGTCGTTGTACGCACATTGTCGAGTCCGCTATTCCATTGAGTTGATTAACCCAGCGGCATGTCTCCCCTTTTGGGTCGACAATTCCAAGAGGTGGGGGAAGGGGGTGCCGGGGGGGAGGGGTTTTGGCCAGGTGAAGCCAGGTGAGAAAGAGCACGTCGGTCCGTTCTGAGGCGCCAGCGAAAAGCGATGAAAGAACCGCATCTGCCGCAATTACGGCGATGAGGTTTCCGAAGAGAGCGTCACGTCTCCGGTTCGGTTCTAGGCCTCAAGATCGTCGATTCAGATGGCGATCGAGATGGAGATGGAGATGGAGATCGAGATCTGGTCGCAGTTGCTAATCAACTCGTTTATCGGCCCCAGAGTCGCAAGCGTAATCAATCATTGGCCAGATATAGTACAAGCGTGTGGATCGAGCTTATCTGATCCGTAGATGCGACTCTCGGCTGGCACGTAAATCGCTTCCGGCGGACTCTTCAACTGGCTCTTATCACGGCCCTAATTAAAATCATGAGAATCATCTAAAACACACAGATGATCTTATACAGCTCGACCTTCATAAGATAACTTAGCGACAGTATTATTTTCTATAGAAAATAAAAACCACTTAATTTTTTAAAAAATATTGAAAGCTTACCCTAAATTATTTTATGAATGTGGAATAATATCCGAAGTAACCCAGAAATAATCTAAGTTTTTCTGATACCAAAAACCATTAAAAACAGAGTAATAATAATTAAAAAAATTAAAATTTATTTTAAAAATATTCATTATTTTATTATAACTCATTGATCTCAGCAAAGTTTCCACACTCCAAAATCCCCAACAGCCTGTTAAATATTTGTTAGGGAAGTTCGACTGTAAAATTAAATGAATCGAAATGAAATGATGTGAAATGCCGAAGGGCATTTAAATGCATTCGAATCGGAACACTTTTCACTACTAATCAAAGCGATTGCCGGACGACGGACGACGGACTGTGTGATCCGGAGTGCTCATGCATTTTTAATGCCCCATTTTGTGGCCGGAAGGAAGCGCAACACGTAAACGTGTTAATATGGACAGCACAATCTATTAATTTGTCAACAATAAAGTAAGACAAGCGACAGGCGACATCGTTCCCGAATGAGAGCATTGATTGGAGGCACCAGGATGGCCAGTTTAGTTCAGTTCGGTTCAGTTCAGCTCTGTTGTGTTCGAGCGACCGCAGTAACGCCAGTTTGCCCAAGTTTGGGGATCCGGGAGGAGCAGATGGGGCATTCAGGTTGTTGTCAGCACAGCAGGTACGAAATTAATATGCGAGCAACAATTAAGATAAGCGCGCAAAGTTGTGAAGTGACTGCTGCGAGGAGGGCGCAGTCGGTGGCCCCAATTGAGGTTGTCCGGCGACCACAGCAGCCGCCAATGACTAAGGCGACAACAAGCCGGCAACTTGGGGAAAAAACCTCACAGAAAAGTTAGCACAGGAAGAAAATAGCACATAAATCACACATTAACTTGCTACAAAATTAATAAGCAATTCGTTTGGCTTTATTGCTGTACTGGAGAACTCATTAACATGTAGTATTTATTAATTTATATACCTTTTTATTTGGTTTTTTATTAATTTTTTCCTGTGTAAATCAAGAGAAGCGATCTCGATCGCACCTCGTCGAATGCTTCCTCTCACAGCAAGAAACTGCGAGTCTGCGGTAGCCGGAAAAAAAACAACCACAGCTGCGAAAATATTTTATATAAGTTGAAAAAATTTAACCACATCCATTAAGCAAGACCTTGATGACAAACGGCGGCAAGTCTTTCGTGCGATAATAATAAGTATTCATTTCAGATATAATTTTTGTCGCTCCTTCCTTTTGGCCATCGGTTTCGGGTTATTTTCGGCATCTCCATGCCTATAATAAAAATTGAAGTTACCCTTTGCTGATTGCCGATTATGTTTCGGGTGGAATGTTTATATTAAATGAATTGTGGTTGGTATCTGTTATCAATACAAGCTAACTTAAATGGTAGTTATTCTCCAAAAATCAATTCTTTAAATGTTTTTTAAGAAGTTTTTCGTTTGATATCAAATTTTAACCATATTAGCATTATAACATCTATGCTTTATTTGGTTGCTTGCTCTTGTGTATGAACATAAGAATGTAAATATTGTTGATCTAGGTTGCATATTTGAAGTACTCCTCCTTGGCGGCGTTGTCCATCTTCATGGTCCTGGCTCCCGGACGCCAATTGGCCGGGCAGACTTCACCGAACTCGTCGCTAAACTGGAAGGCCTGAACCAGACGCAGTGCCTCATCCACACTGCGACCCACTCCCATATCATTCACAGTGATCTGGCGAATGCGACCCTCGCGATCGATGATGAACAGGGCACGTAGAGCCAATCCTGTGTCCTCTTCGAGAACTCCGTAGTCCCTGGCTATCTTCATGGACTTGTCCGCCAGCAGAGGAATGTCCAACTCCCCCAAGCCACCGGACTTTCGGGGAGTGTTCATCCAGGCGCAGTGCACAAAGTGGCTATCCGTCGAGCAGGCCAGCACCTCACAGCCCACGTTTCGGAATTCCGGAGCCCTGTCGCTAAATGCCTGCAACTCCGTGGGACAGACGTACGAGAAGTCCGCCGGATAAAACACCAACAAGACGTATCTGCCACGTAAATCAGACAGCGATAGGTTACGGAATCCACCGGCCACCACGGCACTGGTGGTAAAATCAGGAGCAAGTTGGTTCAGATTGAGCATCCGCATCTTGGTGTTTTATTTTAGTATTCGAGTTGAGTTTTCAGATCGAAAATTCAGGTGCTGTGTTGTCTGTGGTTTGAATATGAATGATCAAACAGGAACTTATTTCGATTGGCTTACTATAATTCTAACAAAAACCCCATGAATTTCAAAGCAACTAATTTAATCATAAACAAACTTATTCAAACAAACAACTTTTTGAAGAGCATAAATTTTCAATGGTAATTAATTTTGTTTAGTTACACAGTTTACACAAATACTCGTATATACTTGCATAAATCAAACAGCATCGAACAGTCTCGCCCCAATCATATTTCAATAGCCATTCTATTGCAATTCGATTTAATTTTTGTCAATTTCCCACTCAAATTTCCAGCCCGTATCTAACCGACAATCGTAACACGATCAGCCCCAATTAGAGCGTCCTTTTGGCAACATAAACCGAATCGCAATCGATTAAATTGAATCCGATTCAATTATGAGTGAGAGGGGGCGAGTGCCACCTGCTGTTCGATGGGCGTGTGAAATGATTGTTGTGTTAATTTCGCATATGACACCAGCGACTGCCGACAGGGATATTCGAGTATTTTATGCGGTTTATTGGCTTTGATCGATTGAAGGCGTCCCGTTTTTTATGCATACGGGTCGGGTTTCTTGACAGCTCATTCAGTGCACCGTTTTTTAGCATGTAGTTGGTTGTTGGTTGGTGAAATATTTGGAGGCAATTTAGCAGCACGTCAATTACCGCCGGCCACCTGATGACAGTTGCAATTAAAAGACGAGAGAAAAAAACCAGCCGAGACACGAAAATGCGGGGAAAATAGTTGCCAGTCAACATGAATGGATGCCTGTTAATAGACATGTAAACTGCAATTAAAACAAGCCAATGGGGAGGAGCCAATGTCCGGGGATGGGGGCCTCCAAAATATTTTGACTCAGCCAACTAACATGGCCGGCTGTCTCTGGTCTTTTCTTTAATTAAAATATTTAAGCACGCAAATAGGCCTGTCTCTCCATCTGTCTATGGCCAAGTGGTCCCGTCAGCCCGTATATTCAGCCAAGATACCCGTACTCCTCCCGCGGATCTGCGGGAAAACTCAACTGGGCGTGTCCACGGTATTACGGAGTTTGGAGTTCCGAGCTGCCGTCGCCGTTGTGCGGCTTTAATCAAAGTTTTTGCCAGCGGGGAATCAATCATTTGAAATTTAAACGTCATCGTGCGTCGGACAACTCATAAGACAAACCAACAGTAACAGCGGGCGAACCAGACCAGGTTACACATTTTGAGATGGAATCGTGACAGTTGTAAATTGGCAAGCAATAAATAAAAGGCAATATAAAATGTAATAAATAGTTAAATAAAAAAATTCTATATAAAATATTTTCATGAAAAGAAAAGCTAAAATTAAAATTAAAGGCCTTTCAAGAACTTTCTTTTGAAGATTATACTTTGTTAGCCTTCAAGTTTTCTTTTTTGGATCTGGAATTACCTTTTAGTATTTTATTTTTATTTATAACGAATTAAAGGTAAATCAAAAATAAGTTATTTAAAATTGAAATAATTCTTATAAAACTTGGATTTTAAAATCGTGACACGATCCGCACCATTATCCACAATACCATCCCGAACTCCAGCTTGAATGCGAATGTGGCGTGTCCGAGTTTTTAGCAAGTCGCCTCCCAGTCAAAGAAAAAATCAACCGAAATCCAAACCCAACGGCCGTCGGCCAACGCAATCACAAAAAACATTTTTCTTTCTTAAGGTTTGTATTATTTTTTTTTTTTTTTTTGGTTTGTTTCTGTATTTCTTGTCGGCCTGTCTTCATGTTTCGCCGTAGTTTTGTTAATGAAAGCCAAAAGCGAAATTAATGCGTGTGGCCAACGCCATCAGCAGCGCCCCCAGCTTATCACTGTCAAGCGATCTAAACTGGAACTGGACCTCGTTTAGGCCAAGTCGAGCCGAGCTGATCTGCTGGTGTTTAACTGAATTTATTTGCCAAATATCTATAGAAATTTATTTGATTCGGCTCATGGGAAATTTATGCGCCTGTCGCTTGGCCTTTTGTGTTCAGCATTCTGTGTGTTTGCGCATAGATTTTTAATAAGTGATAAGCATTTGAATTGACAATTTTAAAGTCGATTAATTAATTAAATGGCAATTGAAAATGCCAGACAGCCCCGAAAAACACGGGCCCGATAACATGATGGCACAATAAAATACACAAATTGATTGATTTTCGGCTTTATACGCATTTATTTTGTGTTCACGAGTGTTTTTATTGTTAGTTTTTTGTTTCAGAATTAATGAGAATATTTTCGAGAATTGGTTTACGCCCGGTTTGTTATCTTAAATAAGAAAATTGAATGGTTATTCAGCTTAAACCTGTGCGTTAATTATTGCTCTTTTTTGTTTTGACATTTTCATGACACGATTCTGTGTTTAAAGATAACCGAATTTAGGAAAATTAAATAGAATGCTGATATAGCAATTATTCACACTGCAGGGGAGGTGTTGTTTTCTGGTTAATACTGTGCTAAATAGGTAAATTGCGATATGTTTTTTCTAGCTTAAGAAGATATCTGCCAAGAGATAGCTTATGTTGCTACAAAAAATGTCAGAGTCGAGAAAAACACAAATGAGCATATTTAAAACGTGAGATTTGTTCTTTTTGCTTTCATGCACCTGGACTACAATAAAGCCATAAAAAAACAAGCGATATTTGCTGCATTTAAAAGTTTCAAACGTAAGCCATGCAAACAAATAACTTTTGAATTGCAATCATTTCCGGTAAGTAAATATATGGGTATAAGATTTAACTTTAAATGTTAGCTTAACATTATTTAAACAGTTAAAATCCTTTGCTTATCGCAATTCAAGGAAACTTCAGAATTTTTCAATTTTACTTAATTATGTTTTTATCCACCCCCACCACAATTTTAACTTTTCATTTTTTATCGCGCGCTAAACGAGGCATGGAATATGCCACTTAGCTGAACCCCTAAAAAATTCCAATCACACGCCCTCCAAGGCAATCATAATGGATTGGAAAAGTCTTTAACTTTCGTATAATTATTCTGCTTCCCATGGAACGCCTTGTTATACGCGCATAGTTCAATAGTTTGAACTCTTTTTAATTGATCTTGATTAATCGCACACCACACACAGACAGGGAAAAAACAAACACAGATGCCGCCCAAGAAGGTGGCGGGCAGGCTCCCCATATCGAATCGGAAGCCCGACCATTAATTACGCTTTAATTACCCGCCGAAAAAAAAAAAAAAAATAACAAAAAAGATATAAAAACGCATGGGGCAAAAACCTTAATAGTTTCGCCTTATCAGCATAGAGTTTCGCTCGCCAGCACTCCTAATTTCATTAGTTTAATGGCACAAAACTGTGGAAAAACCAACAAAGCAACGAAAACACCGACGAATGGCTACCAAACTACGCAAAACGTGCAGGCGGGGAGCAACAAAAAAAATTGTTAACAATTGTGAGAATAAATTGCTAAATAATTAAGTGGATCAACGGCCGGCGGACCGAGCCGAGCAGCTCGAGAGATCTCAGACTCCAAATTGCATATGATTAATTAAAGGAAATAAAATGCTGACGACGGCAGCGGCCACTAGAGAATGAGTAGCAGAAAAATACAAAAATACAACAAAAAACAAGAAGTATATAAGAGCAGAGTGAGAAGCGAACGAAAATCTTTTTCTTTAATTAATATTGAAGTGAAGCAAACCGAAGTTCAGTAGCGAACCGACAGCCGACTTCCCGAGCAGCAAAAACTGGAAAAAAATGAAAAAAACAAAGACAGGAGGCGTTTTTCAACTCATTAACGTTCAAACAAATTCATTTGCATATCTACCTCTACCTGCCCCAAATTAATATTCCATGGCTTCAACATTCTTCTTGACTTTTTTCCGTAAATTTGAAACGCTTAAGAAACGAGCTGAGAAATGGTCTCACACACAATTTGAATTGCAACACTGTTCAGCAGTGGCGGATCCACGGGGGGGGAAATTAGGGACATTTCCCCCCCCTTGGAACCACAGAACTTGAAAATTTTACTTTTTTGCTATGGTTGACTTTTCAAATATAGCCACTTTGTTTACCAAAAAATTGGGATGGATAATTTTTGTTTTATAATTTGTACTGTATTTCTCTCGCAATAATAAATTTGAACTTCAAATCGAAGAATAAGTTCAATTTCCCCCCCCAAGAATCGTCTCTGGATCCGCCACTGCTGTTCAGTCAGTCAGTCAGTCAGTTTCCCCCGCCATTTATTTTTGTTCAGTTTCTTTTGTCTAAATGATTTTTATTAACATTTTTTGCGTCAGGTATTCGAGTAGGGACACGCATTTGCTGTGTCACTGCAGTCGAGCGAGTCAGTGCAGCCAGCTTAGCTGGAAATATATATGGTTTATATATATAACATATAAATTTAAGGGAATAAATTATATCTTTTGGAACTTACAAATTTATAAAAATAATGACAAGTTTTAGTACTACTCTACAACTTATTCGATTGTTAGCATGAAAAACAATACCATCATATTCTGGTGGTTAAACTTAAAAAATTAAAATCGGAGACATACATAGTAAGGTAGAATATAAACATTTTTCGGTAGTTTTATTATTTAATATTAACAAAAAAATTACAATATTCAATTCAATATTTTAAGGAGCTCAAAACTACAAATTTGTAAGCTTTAAAAAAAAAATTAACAATATTGAACTTAACCTGTTTGTAGCTGATTTCCTATTATATCTAGCTAGTTTTTTTTTTTTTGGATAGTTGCAACACCTCCATGAAGGGGCAATCGTGGAATAGAGAAGGCCAGGCTTAAAGGGAAAGACGCCGGCGCATTGGAAACGCGGTCCAAAAGCGGAGAGCTGGGCGTCAACTGCATGCCATGCGTAAATGCCAAAAGCGGCGACCCTCGTCTCGCTGCCCCTGCGTTAACCCTCCAGTGGCCCTCGTGTCTTATCTGCTTGTATTCATCTTGAAAATTGTTTCTAGTTGAAGTTTGCCTTTTAATTGTTAGGCGCAAACAGCCGACCGACCGACCGGCCGACTAAATTAAAT